GGAACCAGCTCTGCATCTGAGTCCTCGCTCAGCCGACCCGGTCGTGACAATGGACCAGAAGTAAGGAATCAGGACCCAGGAACTGTGCTGACCACCACACCACTGCACTGTCCCACGGGTATCTGTAAAAATACAATTGTTAAACCCTTCCTATGTATTCAGAAAAAAATATTGTGTGTTTCTGATAATATATGTGCCATGCTATCTGAATGATTATGTCCTCCACCCAAAATACTGCCAACAAAACTGCAAACATATCTACCATATGTATAGATAAACCATTTGTTATTAGTTTTTCAATCTAAACTGAAACAAGTGTGTTTTATTGGCAAGCAGTGTGCTGCAACTTCCCTTGTTTAAGGCATTTATTTCCATGCTTGTTGGTAATCAGTCACGGTTAAAAGCCTGCACTCCTCTGGAGTCCAATGCCACAATGGTATGCCTCACTTGGATGGAATACGGACGCCTGATTGGTTGCTCACCTGATTACTCCTGTCCACTCAGCTTTTGCTCAAAATCCATCTCAGCAGCCCTGCCCCTCTTGGACCCACTGGACTCTCCTGTCTGCCCTCCGACCTCGACCCCAAATACACCCAGGGCTTCCTGCTGCCTCCACTACCCCTCTACCTAAATAAACCCCTTTAAGTCCTTCATCCCACAGTCTTGTGTTTGCTTCTGGGTCCAGCCCTCACCAGTCCTGTTCAGCATTAAGGCAGCAGAACTGAAATCTGAGTACCGTGTTATGCTTGCTTTGCCAAGGGGAGGCTTCATGGGTGAAAAATCCCACCTTGTTTATCAGCGGGACAGGCAAGAAGTAAAAACAAGGAAAAGAAAAAAGCCACAAACACCATTGGCAGCAACCACACTGAGGACACTAACCAGTAACTAAGAATTGTGCAGCAACTGTATGGAAGCTTAAACTGACTTTGTGTGTGTGTGTGTGTGTGTGTGTGTGTGTGTGTGTGTGTGTGCAAACATGCAAGACACGTTTCACACAGATTGTGCGAAGTTATGGATGAAGAGGGGCCACCAGCCACAGCCCACGCTCCAGTGCTCTGAAAAAGGCAGAGAGCAACCCGAGACCAAGTACACTGGCAGCCACCCCAGAGCACAATCCTGGGAAGACAACCACAGGGACAACTAGGCACTCGCCCAGAAGACCAACGAAGGAAGCCCCCCAGCAGAGCCCCCCGCCACCACAAGGCAGAGGCCCCCCGAGAACCATGAACAACAGTGCACCAGCCCCCACCCCCCAGACATAGCCCGGGAACAAGATCGCAAGCCCCACGAGTCAGAGCGCTGCCGAACCTAGTAGAACCTACCCTTCCACCTGACACCGCTCAGCATACCCACCCCCCTGGGCGTAATGTGTATGTATGTGTGGGTATGATGGGTAATTCTGATAAAAGACTGGGGTTGGGGCACATAATAGAGGATTACCTAGGTAGTACCCTCAGCTGCACTCCACAGATCCAACATTGTCCCAAAGCCACCAATCAGCCCCCCACTAAGATCCACCTGACAGCCACAACAACCTGAGACCACCAGAATCCCAAATCCCCAGGACACTCCAAGCCCTCTCCCAACTGCCCAGAGCAGTAGAACAGCTGCCCTCCACACTTTCTAAGTGATAAAAATAACCAATTGGGATCTGAGAGAATTTAATTTAGCTAATTACTATTTGGAGGAGGCAGACATTATTTCCATAATAATATTGTTTAAAAGAACATTTCTAAACTGATTAATACTGATTTTAGTTTTTGCATTCCAATTCATGAGAATAGTTTTCTTTGCGATACATAACACCGTGAAGACCATGTGAGCTGACTTCCTATCTATGTTGATGTATTATGAACCGTTGCACAGAACCATCCCCCATCAATGTGTGCAGATATTTGAAGGTGTGAGACTCATCCTGAACTTCCTTTCTCCTGTATAATGAGTTCTATATAGAATTTTCTATTGTATAAGCTGTAAATTAGGATTTGCACTCATACTTAAGATGTTCACTCATATTTATGGCCACTGCGGTCGTTAGTGGAGGATTTATCCGCTTTCCACTTTCAAGATGGTAAAGAAATTGTGGCGTCGGTCTTTGATAATAACATATACATTTGTCATAGTGTTTTTGGGGTGCAGATGTTAAAAATTCTGCTACTGCCATCAGGAGTTCCACTTTGTAGAAGACATACAGTTGTTGATATTCTAAGAATGTTTTGCTGCTAAACATTTGATGATCTCATGTTTTGATATGAGCTTATCAAATGGAATACAATTTTCATTTTGAATTATATGTTCTAGATGTTTTATTCCATTGTTCCTCGATTGAGGAAAATTTAGCTTTTTTATTTTATTTTGGAGGATGCCACGTTTGTTCCAGATGGATGTAAACTTACACAGGCGAGGACTTCATACCAGGCTGTTGAACAGCTTCATAGAGCTCTCCTATTTAGAGAGGTGAGTCCAAATCCATGATCTGTTCAGGTAGAAATTTTGGAAGGGTGATATTACTAAGAAACTGATCAATATTAGTACAGTACACTGTATTTTCCAGTGATTAAATCCTGAGTTCTTCTTCTGAAATGTTTATGTTTTTCTTTATTTAGCAGCATATATGCATGTATGTATTTTGGTATATTTGTTTATACTAATATATTTATTAAATGTGCAAGGCAATGTTCTGTTCTCCTATTGATCCTCATATATGACTCGATCTCCGTGGATGCGGGCCACCAGGGCCCTGCCAGGCCTGGAGGTGGGGCACGTTGGCGAGCAGCTGGTGGCCGGGTTTTCATCCATGGAGCCTGGCCGGGCTCGGCCCCTACAGAAGCTGACTCTTGGGACGTGGAATGTCATTTCTCTGGTTGGGAAAGAGCCTGAGTTTGAGTGCGAGGCGAAAGTCCATCTGGAACCAACGTTCTTGAGAGAGGCTGGCGCTCTGCTATTCTGGAGTTGCCCTTGGTGAGAGGCGCCAAGCAGGAGTGGGCATACTTGTTTCCCCCCATCTTGGCACCTGTAAATTGGGGTTCACCCCAGTGAATGAGAAGGTTGCTTCCCTTTGCCTTCGAGTGGGGGGACGGGTTCTGACTTTTGTTTGTGCTTATGCACCTAACAACAGTGCAGATTACTCACACTTCTTGGGTGCTGGAGAGTGCCCCTCCTGGGGACTCCCTTGTTCTACTGGGGGGCTTCAATGCTCAAGTGGGCAACAACAGTGAGACCTGGAGGGGTGTGGTTGGGAGGAATCGCCCTCCCAGCTTGAGCCAGAGTGGTGTTCTGTCATTGGATTTCTGTGCTCGGCGTGGGTTGTCGTTAACGAACACCATGTTCAGGCATAAGCGTGTCCATATGTGCTCTTGGCAAGACACCCTAGTCCGCAGCTCTATGATCCACTTTGTTGTCGTTTCATGTGATCTGCGGCTGTATGTCTTGGACACTCAGGTGAAGAGGTGGGTGGAGCTTTCCATTGACCACTACCTGATGGTGAGTTGGCTCTGATGGTGGGGGAGGATGTCGGTTAAGGCTGGCCAGGCCCAAACGCATTGTGAGGGTCTTCTGGGAGCACCGGGCAGAGTCCCCCGTTAGGGGGAGCTTTAACTCCCGTTCCGAGGGAGGTGGGGTACATACAGTCTAAGGGGGCCATAATAAAGCAGTGTTGGATAATCAAGGGGCCTTTTCACCAATAAAGCCTCCCTTGTGTTCAGCATAGCACGGTAATTAGATTTCAGTTTTGCCGCCATAATGCTGAACAGCAAAAGGAAAAAAAAGATTGGTGGAACAGATTCGGCTTGAGTTCCTCGGGGCTCTGGATGTTGTAGGGTTGCGCTGGCTGACGCGACTCTCCAATACCGCCTGGACATCAGGGGTAGTTCCGCTGGATTGGTAGACTGGGGTGGTGGTCCCATTATTTAAAAAGGGAGGGTCTACTTAGGAGAGGAAAGTTTGTCAAATAGTTGAACCTCAGATTCAGAAAGAGCGGTGTGGTTTTTGTCCTGGCCGTGGAACACTGGACCAGCTTTTTACCCCAAACAGAGTCCTGGAAGGTGCATAGGAGTTTGCCCAAGCAGTCCACAGGATCTTCTGGATTCCTCCTGTCGCTTACTCCCTCTGCCTTCACACCTCAACGAGTGACACCTATCGCTCCGATTGAAAACAAAACTTTATTCAGTTTGGATAGTAATTTGTGCCCGCACAAGAGTCAGCCATTCGGTGATTACAGGTACAGAATTGACAAAAAATTGACAAAAAATGTTTTTAGTGTAACGTTTTTATATTTAGCAAAATGTAAAAAAATAGATTAATATAATTCACAAATGTGCAAATCCAGAAACAAATTATTACCCTATTAGCTTTGGATATTACCTCATTTTAAACATTTTAAAGAATAGTTAACCAAGCCAATCATATATCTGAATTCATCACTTCAGTTGCATTAAGGAAATGTTTTAAGGATGTGCGCTTTCCTTTCACAGTCTGTGTCCATAGATATTGTCACTCAGTACAAAGCTGAAAGTCCACATGGCAGTGTACCAAGATTCTAGTTCCATTCTTTGGCCCTTTCTAAGAATTGTTCCCTTCTGTTTGTACCTCCCTTTTGCTTCCACTGTAAGTAAAGCTAAAAGGAGCTGCAAAGTATGAAAAATATGAATAACATGAAAATTAGCGATACATAAATTTTTTAAGAGCAGAAAAACAAAACAAAACTTGAATTATAGTTTTTTGTGTGAATTGCTCTTGAAAAATACCCGAAGATCTTACAAATATCTGCTGCTCAATTTGAAGTCTGCTGAGGCTTTTTGAACATGTGACTTTCTTGGTCAACATTGATCGAGACCAACCTGGCTGTATTAGATCAAACAAGTTCTGTAAATAAATTGCCACAGAGTTGTGAACTCTGAACGGTCAGTATGTTGATATCACTACCAGTTGTGACCTCAATGATGAAAAGCAGCCTTCAACTATGGAAGTTAGAAAGAGATTTACTGACTGACTGGGAGTAGCCAATAGCTATCTTCATGAATTAGAGCTACAGTTAAAATGCATCAGTTGGCGCACGTGCCAAAACTTTTCTTAAGGTACATTTACTGTATAAGACTAAAATAGAGGGAAGTTGTTGATAATAAATATCTCATTGACTTGGAGAATATATATTACCCCAAAATATGAGAAATTTAATTTAAAAGGTATTCGGTCTCATGCTTTAAAATTGGGAGATGAGGTCGGGAAAGTGATGCTGAAAACTGGAACATCTTTTTTTAATGACTATTTAATTAAAGAAACTACTACTAGGAGGCTGGGGTTACAAAGCATAACTACCTAGATAAACAAAGAAATACTCAACCATCCATCCATTTTCCACTACTTATCCAGGGTTGGGTCGCGAGGGCAGCACTCAAAGCATGGAAACCCAGAATTCCTTCTCCCCCGCCACTTCTGAAGCCAGAAGAAAGCTCTGCCCCCCTCTTCACCTGAGTATCCAAAACATGCGGCCATGGATCAGATGAAACAACAACAAAGTCGATCATTGAACTGCGGCCTAGGGTGTCCTGGTGCCAAGAGCACATATGTACACCCTTATGCTTGAACATAGCGTTGCCAACATGAGTATTGAAGTCCCCCAGTAGAACAAGGGAATCCCCAGGAGGGGCACCCTCCAGAAACCCCCTCCATGGACTCCAACAAGGGTGGGTAATCTGCACTCACCTGTCCCTGCTATCAGGGACATGTAGATCTGTGTATCATCAGCATAGTTGTGATAGGACATATTATGGCAGCATATTAAGATGACAAATTAAATGATTGTGGAGGGGGCGTGGCGCTCAGCTGCAGGGGGGAGGGGTGGAGGAGGCTCAGGTGAGCAGTGCCAGGGGAGATGATTAGGCACACCTGGAACCGGTTGGCTAATCACTCTCCCCTCTGTAAAGAGTAGCGTGCTGGACCTGGGGAGGACTGGTTTGGGAGGAGAGCTGGAGCAGGACAAGCGACCAGCTCTGAACGAGCAGGAACAGGCAAGAACACAAAGAGCCTTAGCCGGGCGTGTGAGTGTGTGTGCTTGTGTGAGAGAGTGTGTGTGCGGGTGCCGCACACACGCTAAAATAAAACCATTTACACCGGATATCCTGGTCTCTGGAGGACTTTGTCAGACACCCACGGTGGCACAAGGCCACAATGATGTAGCATCCATTTAGTGGGAAAAAATAAACCACATTCAGATGTAACAAAAACATTCAAATGGAAAAAAAAAACATATCACTAAATCATCAAGGAAAACAATGTGCAAACACCTTGTAATTTGCATTTCTGAAACAAAAACTTGCAGCAGTCCAAATAAACAAGACACCAGGAAGATAAAGTCAAAATAATTTGCTTTAAAGAGGAAAATGCAGATCAAAATAATGAAAATATCACATCTCACCGGATGACACTTTGGGAAAGCATGCAGGAATGTTGTTTGCGGGTCCAATGAAATGTTAAGATGAATAGAAACAGGTTTCCCTTAATTACTGAAGACATGGGAATACTGTCAGGTAAGGGACGGGAAGTGCCAACCTTTGCTCTTGCAGAAAATGCACAAGTGATGTGCTTGGAATCCTGCAAAGGTCGGCATTTGAAGTTCTTTTGCTCTTGCTTTTTTTCTGTTTTATGAATATCAGATCTGATATTAGATTTATGTCAGATTGCTGCATAGCAGGGTGGTCTGACTCCAGGCTTTGAAGGGCCCTGTCCTTCAGTGTTTAGAAGTCCTGCAGGTTTTTTCCATGTTTCCCTGCTTCAACACACCCCTGTCTGATGATATTGGTCTATTTAAAAGCGTTACACAAGCCAGCTAATGGCCCATTGACTGAATCAGTTATGTTGAAGCAGGAAAACCTTTGAAGCCTGCAGGTTAGGGGTTCTCAAGTTATGGAGTTGGATGACCCCGTTGAATAGGAGCCCTTGTTTACATGAGTGTAAGGGTCCTCGAAAGTGCTTGCTGCCAGTGTTTCCAACAAATAGCCTCCAAGTTAAAACATACAGACAGTCAGAACAATTTTGATTATTTCTTGGTTATCAGGTTACTACATATTTTTATAGATTTTTGATAGCTACCTGAAAGATGTTACTGGAATAACACCAGTGCCTTTCTCTAAAATATAATGCAATTGACAGTACCAGCTGTCAAAGGTCCAACTGCAAACATGGAAAAGTTTTGATAATAAAACAGTAAAATGTATCTTTTTTGCACACCGGTGAAGTCTGAGCTTTCCTTACAACACTGTTTTATTGTTATCAAGTAATACGGATAAAAAGTCCAGTCTCAAGAGTCCCATTGATATTTGTTTAAACATCCATATAAATGCCAGAATGCAGGTTATCTTAAATTGTAACAAAATCGACAGTGTTACATACTTTATGTCAGGAGCTTCAACACCTTCGGTGGTGGACTTACAGTGATCTCCCCTAGCTACTTCATACTTCTCGAGTCTGACAGGTACAGCCATTACCTGACAGAAAAAAACACTACTTACAAAACTAAAAAGAAAAATTACAAAAGAAGTCAGAACTAAAACTACTGGATTGTATGTTAATCTTTGAGGAGGAAATGCAATAAGAAAAAGTCTCTTAAAGTACGTTGATGTAATTTAAAGCTATCGTTCACAGTGGATTTTCAAGGAAGACAAAGAAATTATACAGCAACGAAAATGCCAAACTCATTTAAATGTACATGCACTTATATAGCGCTTTTCTAGTCAAGCTGACTACTCAAAGTGCTTTATTTACCCTGCGTGTCATTCACCATTCACACTCACATTCACACATGATCCTCCAATCAGTGGGTAACTGCTCTTTCCTCCTGAACTACAGCCGCCCACAGTCCTTTGTGTAGTACATGACTAATGGAAAAAATACATAAAGCTTCTTTACTTGTGTCCGTGTTTCTGTGTGGATTTGAGATCGGGCAGTGGGACTTTGTGACAAAACAGCACGAGGTGGACTTTGCCTGCATGGTGCAGTCACTCCTTTACTGAGTACTTTGCAGTGTTAGTTTGTCAGTACTGTTACTGTTAGGAGAATGAATGACAGCAAGGTACCCGTCTGTGTGCATGAATAATTATTTGTTTGCTCTGTGTACTAATATATTGTGTTCTTCTTTTCCAGATGTGTCTAGTTTATGTTACTGCACTGGGGTTGTGTGCAATCACATTGATTTCAGGAGGCCCTGTCAAACAGGTTAGAGACCTGGTGTTTTTTACCTTAAATTCTTCTCTTAGTTCTTATCTAACGAACATCGTCTCTCTGCATGTTCTCTGTCAGACAGCAGCCAAACAAAAAGGTGGGATGTGTGTGCCTGTTATCATATGTTTATCATTTAAACTAAATACAAATTCAAACTGACAAAGTTTGAAAAAGTGAGCATGATTTTGACTTCGTTTTCCAGGCAGTGCAGTCCTTTTTTTCGTGGCACACCCAGGACAGGTAAGAGAGGTCCTATTTAGCCCACTCATCTTTAATCAGGTGATGGTGAACCAGGGCTCAGCCTACGATAAAAACACGGGTGTGTTCACTGCACCAGTCGCTGGTGTCTACCAGTTTGTGTATGCTGCCCAGCTCTGCCGAGGACCCCACAACAACCTTTGGTACTTTATGGTCAATGATGCCGAAAGGATGCTGTGCCATGCTCAGGTACTGGGGAAGAGCAGCAACAAAATTATTGATAAAAAACAAACTGGTCATAACAAAAATATCCTTGATAATTTCATGAAAGCATTTGAAAGCTCAGATAGGCAATGAAATCATCTAAATACCAGTCCTTTGCTCATCACCCAGGTGTCAGGTGGTGATACAACTCTTAACACCTGTTACTACATGGAGGAACTAAAAGAAGGTGATCGAGTTTGGATAAAACAGCTAGAAGGGAGCTGCGCCTGGGCCAGCACCACTTCCAAAACAATTACATTCTCAGGAGTCCTGCTTGTACGTGAGGGTGTTTCCATGTTGGAAGAGAAACATGGCTCTGGCTTTTCCTGCCCGCTGCCCAGCCTCAGCCACAAAATGATGTCAAGCTCTGCAAGCCAGGCTGTTGCTCTGTCTGGTGTCTTGATCGCCATGCTGCTCTGGCCACTGCTCCTGGATTAGTTATGCTGAAGAGACAACAGTCTGTTCTGTGGATAGATGTATCTATATCTTTGCATATCTATATATCTATCTATCTACATCAATGTATCTATGTAACAGCAAAGTAAAGTAAGCGATATGACATTTCATGCTCATATTTGGTGGCTTGACCCAGGTAAAATAAAACCCAACATGGCATACAGAGTGGACATAAAGTTAAGGTTGTACGGTAAAATGGAGAAAAGACCGCCAAAACAGTTCAAATCAAAAATCGATTAGCTTCAGTCGATAGAAGAACAAGGTTCACATCTGAAATGCAAACTTTAAAGGATGTTATAAAGACCCAATGTGGCTTTGTCAATAAATCTAACAGAAAGAAACATATCAATGTAATTTGTTGCGAGGATTTTTTGCTAAATAATTTGATGACATGACGGATTTAATAAAATATAATTTAACCATCAGTTCTGCTCGTCTCAATTTTGAATGGATTCTACAGTAAGAGCTTTACTGCCGCCATATGTTCCACATCGTGGAATCAAGATTCAACGTTAATAACCGTGCTATCCAGTAGATAGCATAAGTTAGTCATGAAATACATAGATCGAAGAAAAGACTGAAAAGGAAGACACATAGCCTGTATCTTTAAACTACTACCTAAATAATTTCCGAGGGGAATGCAGACACATTAACCCCCCCCCCTGTAGGGTTATAGCTCAGTGACATTTAAACTCAAGTGTATCATTTCCAAGTTGTTAATGTATCTGCTTTATGATTCAACCTCTGGTAAACTTATACTTACTGCAGCATAACCAGAAACAAGTTCCAATTGTCACAGTGGTGTTCCTGGCTGGGTTTTTTTGTCTCGTCTTATTGTAGTCTCGTCATTTCCTGTTTTATTTTGAAGAATAACCCTCATCTAGTTTCAGGTCACTTGCCCTTCCTGTTGTGTCATCAGTCCAATCGTCTCCCTGATCACCCATTCTGTACACCTGGGGTTCCCTTCCCTCATGTGTTTAAATAGTCCTCGTCTCCCCTTGTCCCGTGCCAGTGTGTTGCGTCCCTTGACTCCAGTGCCTTCTCTCGAACCATAGATTACCCTTGCCATAGAAAACCTTGCCTTGCCTCTTTGATCCCGTTCCCCGCCATAGAGTCCCCATGAGTTTTTGCCTCCATAGAGTGCCGTTTGTGTTTTCTCTCCTAGACGTTCATTCCTAGTGAGTATTCCTTTGTTACTTTGTTTCTCGCCCTTGTCCTCATTCGTGAGTGATTTTGAATTGACACTTTGTTCAACTTTTGGTTTGCTACTTTTCCCAGCCTCGTTTTCGAGCGACATTGCTTTTCTACTTTGTCCCTCCGTGTTGGAGCGTTTTGATTTATACTTTGTGTCCACTCCTTTGAGTGCGTTTTTTGTTGTAATAAATTTGGGATTTTTGACAAAGTTCCGCGACTGAGTCCTCCCTGAGATACGCTGGCCTGACACCAATATTTTTATTGTCACGATCTGTTGTATTGTAAATACTGACAAAAAAAGCACACAGTTGAAAGACAACAGTAACCTGTACAGAAAATGGTTACTTAAAATGCTTATGTGCTTAATAAGCTTATGGGCACTCAAGCTTAAATGCTTATGTGCCTCCCACCAACTCGGTGCCCCTATGCACCGGATATTGTGCATACCCACTTTTTGCACTGCTGGTAAGCCAGACACACTTAAATTAACCAGAAAAATCCCAAATTTAAAGGACTCACTTTGAGATGGAAGATAGAAAAAATATTAAAGACGTAATCAAATATGAGGAACATATGTTAAGTGAGCTTCAACATGAGGCTCAAAGTATGTCAGACTTGCCAAAACATTCTGAAAGAGCTCAGATTCAGAAGAAGAAATAGTTTACAAGAAAAAATGGACTGAAGCCTGGACAGCATCCTCCTCTCTGCCACGGTCATCAAAGTATCCAGCTCTTCCCCTGCGACATCACCGGCCCTCCTGATCAGTTTAAGTCTGTTGCTGTCTGTGATCCTCAGCCCACTGCCCCAGCATGTGACAGCAAAGAAGATTGCACTGGCCACAACAGACTCATAAAACATCCTCAGCATCGTCTGACAGATGTTAAAAGACCTCAGCCTCCTCAGGAAGAAGAGTCGGCTTTGGCCCTTTTTGTAGACTGCCTCGGTGTTTCTTGTCCAGTCCAGTTTATTATTTAAGTACACCCCCAGATACTTATACTCCTCCACAGTGTCTACAGGGACCCCCTGGATGGAAACAGGGGTCACAGGTGTTTTGGCCCTCATCAGATCCACTATTAGCTCCTTAGACTTTGTCACATTGAGCTGCAGATGGTTCAGTTTACTCCAAGTGACAAAGTTGCCCACCACAGTCCTATATTCACCCTCATCGACCCCTTCAATGCAGCCAATGCTGAGTTGTCATAAAATTTCTGAAGGTGGCAGGACTCAGTGCAATAGCTGACGTCTGAGGTGAAGAGGGTGAAGAGGAATGGAGAGAGGACAGTCCCCTTAGGGGCCCCGGTGTTGCTGATCACCCTGTCAGACACACAGTTTTGTAGGCGTACATACTGTGGTCTGCCCGTCAGGTAATCAACAATCCAGGACACGATGGGGGCATCCACCTGCATCGCCGTCATCTTCTCACCCAGTAGAGCCGGACGGATAGTGTTGAAAGCACTGGAGAAATCAAAGAACATGACTCGCATTGCTCGCCGGCTTGTCCAGATGAGTGTAGACTCTGTTCAGCAGGTAGATGATACTGTCCTCAACTCCCAGACGGGGCTGGTAGGTGAACTGTAGTGGATCCGTGAAGGACTTTGCCCTTTGGTGCCACACAAACCACCTGGAGCTCAACACCTCTAAGACAAAGGAGCTGGTTATAGACTTTGGGAGGTCCAGACCAAAGCCGAGACCAGTCGTACTAGAGGGAACTGAGGTGGAGGCCGTGGACTCCTACAAGTACCTCGGGGTGTGGTTGGACAGCAAACTGGACTGGTCAAAACACACCAGCAACCTCTACGGGAAGGTACAGAGCAGGATGTACTTCCTCAGGAGACTGCGGTCTTTTAACATCTGCAGCAAACTACTGTGTATGTTTTACCAGTCTGTGATAGCCAGTGTCCTCTTTTACACCGTGGTGTGCTGGGGAGGTAGCACATCCAAGAAGGACACGTCCAGACTGGACAAACTGATCAGGCGGGCTGGCTCCGTGGTCGGCATGAAGCTGGACTCTCTGGTGATGGTGGCAGAGGCCAGGACACTGAACAAACTGATGGACATCATGGCCGACAGCAGCCACCCTCTGCACACCGTCATCAGCAGCCAGAGGAGCCTGTTCAGTGACAGACTGCTGCTTCCCAAGTGCCGGACCAATACACTTAAGAACTCTTTTGTCCCCCACGCCATCAAACTGCACAACGCCTCACTGGGGGCGAAGAGGTGACACAGGACAGGGGGAAGAGAGATCACATACACATACACAGTACTTAATCTGTATTTTTTGTATTTTTATTTATTTATTTGTATATTTTTGCTTAAACTGATTCTAACTTGACACTGTTTGCCCTTTAAGCTGCTGGTAACCTTAATTTCCTGAGGGAGTCTTCCCAAGGGATCAATAAAGTACTGTCTAAGTCTAAGTCTAAGTCTAAGGGGTCTGACCATAGGCCTTAGCTGTTCAGAACTAGCCTCTCAAAGGTCTTCATGATGTGGGAAGTCAGTGCCACCGGCCTGTAGTCCTGAGGGCCCTTAGGACGCGGCGTCTTAGGCACAGGAATGAGGCGGGATGTCTTCCACAGCACGGGGACTCTCTGGAGGTGCAGGCTCAGGCTGAAGACCAAGCTAAGGACTCCACACAGCTGGGCGGCACAAGCTTTAATCACCCTGGGAAATACATAATCGGGGCCTGCAGCTTTGCCGGTGTGGAGTCTGGTCAGTTGTCCTCGAACCAGGTCAGGTGTAAGGGGCACTGAAGAGGTGACAGTTGGGGGAGGCCCGAGGTCCTCAGGTTGTGGAGGACACGATGCATAGCAGGGGGGGAGGGGTGGAGTAGGTGGGTGTGAATTGAGGTGGTGAGGAGAAGACAGGGGGTCTGTAAGAAGGAGTGGGGGAAGGTGGAGTGGTCGTCGTTGGGTAGCCAGCAGCAGAGACTTGTGGGGGAAGGGCCTCAGTATCAAACCTATAGAAAAATAGGTTCAATTCATTGGCCCTGTCCACTCGGCCATCCAACCCCATGCCACAAGTCTTCTGGAACCCGGTGACGGTTCTCATGCCACTCCACACATCCCTCATGTTGTTTAGCTGGAGTTTATTCTCCAGCTTTCTCCTGCACGTGTTCTTAGCCTCCTTATTATTCAGCTTGAGTACTCCCTGCACTCTCCTCCACTCGTCACGGTTGCCATCTCTGAACGCCCTCTTATTTTCATTGAGGATGGCCTTAATGTCCTTAGTGATCCATGGCTTGTTGGTAGCGTAGCAGGTGACAGTCCGAGCTGGGACATTGCAGTCAACACAGCAGTTAATAAAGTCCATGACGCACACAAGCAAAGTAAATCAGCGCTGGGCTCTCACAGACAAAGTTCCCGGAGGATCTCAGTTGGCAAGAGCCTCGATTTCCGGGTGCGATTGAGTTATCCTCTGGACCGGGCCTCGAACAGGAGGACGGCTGGACGTAAACGAGTGTTATTGGCCATTTAATTCTGACATGAACAGGCCAGCCCTTAATTCATGCAGGTTTTAATGGAATGTGATAAAAAAAAAAACTGTGTGTGTGAATGCTGACCTTGAAGACGTGTATCTACTGTAAAAGAGAGAGGATGAGGAGGAGTAGGCAAAGCCAGAGAATTCAACACAAAACTCTCATTCTAAATGGAATAAAATGAATCTAAAAAGGAATAAGACAATCAGTCATTTCTATGGATTAAGTTATAACATACTGTGCTAAAGTGAGTAATTCTAGCCTAATTCTAACACTTCCTAACAGCATCAGACAAAGGACTCTTTTTCCTATTGGTTTTACTTGATTTTAGTTCTCCTTTTGATTGACCATCAAATCCTATTACAGAGACTGGAACATTTAATTGGCATTAAAGGAGACGCTCTAAGCTGGTTTAGGTCCTGTTTATCAGATCTGTTTCAGTTTGTGCATGTTAATGATGAGTCCTCCATGCATGCCAGAGTTAGCTATGGAGTTGCACAAGGATCTGTTCTCGGACCAATCCTCTTTACGTTATATATGTTTCCTTTAGGTAATATTATCAGGAAACACTCTGTCAACTTTCATTGCTATGCAGATGATACTCAGTTATATCTATTGATCGAGTCAGATGAAACTCATCAGCTAGCTAAGCTTCAAATGTGTCTTCAGGATGTTAAAACCTGGATGACCTGAAATTTTCTAATGTTAAACTCAGCTAAAACTGAAGTTATTGTTCTAGGGCCTAAGTACCCTCGTGACGCACTATCTAGAAATATAGTTTCCCTGGATGGCATCGCCCTGGCCTCCAGATTTTATCAGGACATGTCGTTTAACTCTCACATTAAACAAATTTCAAGAACTGCCTTCTTTGACCTTCTTAATATTGCAAAAATCAGGAGCACCCTGTGTAAAAATGATGCAGAAAAACTACTCCATGCATTTGTTACTTATAGGCTGGATGACTGCAACTCCCT